CAAAACCATTTTCTTCAATACCAGATTGAAACTGCATCAAATGGTTACTGTAGGTGTGCCCATATAGACAACTCTCCATCTCCTTGCAAAGAACTGAAAGTCTTTTGAGGGTTAGCCTACCAGGAGGTAAGTACGCCATTGCTTTTCTGTTACATCCTGCATGCTGTCATCTGTCTGGAAGCACAAAGGAGACACTCACAGTGGTAGGTCTGGTTGGCTCAGGAAGGATGATTGGGTAAAGCAGGAACATTTTCTGAATGTTCCTCCTTCAAAAGGTCCTTGATAGAGGGACCTTCTGAAGGTCCCTCTAGCAGACACTATTGCACTTATCAATCAAAATTTTCCAGAAGACATCACAGCCCTGTTTCAACATTGCCTCACTACAAGATACTTCCAGTGGGAAAATGAATTCTATGAACAGAAAGATGGAGTCACAATGGGAGCTGTCTTAGCCCCCCACTTGCGGAATTCACTCACCAGGGAAATTAGGTCATCGTCATCCCTCATCACCTGAAGGTAAAAACATGGATGTGGGACCAGGCCTTCGGGTAATCTTGCTGACAATGACAGTGACAATGATGACAATGGCTATGGAAATGGACTATGGACATGCTTGATGGAGTCTCTAACTACGATATTCGGCTCAGATAAGGCCACCAGGCTGTCATTGAAACAGAAACCAATTTTAATTAATTAATGTGATTTAATATTTTAAATGTATGTAATTAGACTGTAAGGACAGTGCCCAATGCAGTTCATTTGGCCCTCCGTACTTGAGGACCTATGATTTCCTTGTAGGTAGAACTACGTCTCTCTTTTTATTAGGGGTGGAAGTGGTTGTATTCAATAACATATTAACAACATGGTATTCTGAAAATGTTTAAAATGTGTGAGAGAAGATAGGTCCCTACAGAACTTCACAGAACAAATGCTACAGGACTGATCTTCCCGTAGTCTTCCAGCAATATCTGGCCATCCCAAAAGAAAAAAACACCCTACAGTGTACTTCAGTACTCCAAGTCTTTAGCCATGCAGGTGTCCAAATGGATAGCATACTTAAAGGTCTGAAAGCCACTGAAAAGTCAGGAGAATGAGTAGGATTTCACAATTCCCCATTGGGGGTTTTATGGCAAAAGTTATTCATTAGGACAACTAAGGCCATTTCAGTCCCCAATTCAAGCCTGAAACCAAAATGAGATTAATCCAGTCATTCAATCAGTTTCAACTAAGAATGAATGGAATTACACAGCAAATACCAGCTCAAGTATCACAGTAAAGAAGGGGATATTTGCAACTGCCAAACAGTTGTAATCCTGGGTATTCAAAGAAGGTAGGAGTCGTCAATGGAGAGCATTTTCTTAATTACTTCCTTGATGACCATGCTGGCTGGGAGATTCAGTGATCTGTAGTGCAAAAATGTAACTTTCCCATTCTCCTGGTAGAAGGAAGTGGGAGGAAGAATGCAGTTGTCTTAGCCAGTGTTTGTGAACTCTTCCAGACGCCTTCATAGTCTACTGGGTCCAGGATTTTGAGAATGGAAAGGGATGAATGACCTCAGACCCTTTGTGGGTTGAATTCTCCCCACCAGCCACCTTCACCCCCATTTGATGGCAAATTAGCAGAAAAATGTGTTGCAATGGGTACATTTAAATCAATTGAATCATATCACTCAAATGCCCTCTTTCTAACTCATGGACGAGTTTAACCCCACCTCTAAAAAGGCATTAGCAAATGAATTTATATGCTTTCTAACTCATGTTCGAAAGAGTATTAATTCATTTGGTACTACCTTTTTGTAGATGGGTTTAAGCAAGTTCATGCTTAATCACAGCTCTGTTCATTTCTGGTGTTTGGTAGTGCCAAGGTGACATATGGCAGAATATTGTCCTTGAAATTGTGATACAGCCAGCCCTCCCTGTTTGTGGATTTGACTATTCACAGATTCAATTAATATGGTCTTTCTAGGAATCTTGAGGTCCTCCTTTGCAACTCCATGCTCAATTTCTGCCAGATATTGATCATCAAGTCATGCTGGAAGACCTAGAAATTCCTAGAGAATACATCTCTAGGAATCACTATGTCTTCCAATACAATTCTATAATTTTGGCAAGAGTTGACTGCAGAGTCACACTGAAGGACCTAATGATTCCTCGAGATGTTTTCTCAGGTTGTTGTTGTTCATTTGTTCAGTCGTCTCCGACTCTTCGTGACCTCATGGACCAGTCCACGCCAGAGCTCCCTGTCGGCCGTCACCACCCCCAGCTCCTTCAAGGTCAGTCCAGTCACTTCAAGGATGCCATCCATCCATCTTGCCCTTGGTCGGCCCCTCTTCCTTTTTCCTTCCACTTTCCCCAGCATATTGTCTTCTCTAGGCTTTCCTGTCTCCTCATGATGTGCCAAAGTACTTCAACTTTGTCTCTAGTATCCTTCCCTCCAGTGAGCAGTCGCGCTTTATTTCCTGGAGGATGGACTGGTTGGATCTTCTCGCAGTCCAAGGCACTCTCAGAACTTTCCTCCAACACCACAGCTCAAAAGCATCGATCTTCCTTCGCTCAGCCTTCCCTAAGGTCCAGCTCTCACATTCGTAGGTGACTACAGGGAATACCATGGCTTTGACTAGGCGGATCTTTGTTGCCAGTCTGATGTCTCTACTCTTTATTATTTTATTGAGACTGGACATTGCTCTCCTCCCAAGAAGTAAGCGTCTTCTGATTTCCTGGCCACAGTCTGCATCTGCAGTAATCTTTGCACCTAGAAATACAAAGTCTGTCACTGCCTCCACGTTTTCTCCCTCTATTTCCCAGTTGTCAATCATTCTTGTTGCCATAATCTTGGTTTTTTTGATGTTTAGCTGCAACCCAGCTTTTGCGCTTTCTTCTTTCACCTTGATTAGAAGGCTCCTCAGCTCCTCCTCGCTTTCGGCCATCAGAGTGGTGTCATCTGCATATCTGAGGTTGTTAATGTTTGAACTGGTGCCAATTCCTGAGTCATTGTACGCAACAGGCACAAACCCATTTTCCTACTTCCAACAGACCTCACTACCTCTGAGGATGCTTGCCATAGATGCATGAGAAACGTCAGGAGAAAATGCCTCTAGAACAGGGGTCCACAAACTTTTTAAACAGAGGGCCAGCTCACAGTCCCTCAAACTGTTGGAGGGCCGGATTATAATTGGAAAAAAACATGAATGAATTCCTCTGCACACTGCACTAATCATATTTGTAGTGCAAAAACCACTTAAAAACACTACAATAATTAAAATGAAGAACAATTTTAACAAATATAAATTTATTATTATTTCAATGGAAAGTGTGGGCCTGTTTTTGGCTGATGAGATAGGATTGTTGTTGTTGTTGTTGTGTACTTTCAAGTCGTTACAGACTTAGGTTGACCCTAAGTGAGGACCGGGTAAATGACCTTGGAGGGCTGCATCCGGCCCCCGGGCCTTAGTTTGAGGACCCCTGCTCTAGAACATGGCCATATAGCCCGAAAAAACCTACAACAACCCAGTGATTCTGGCCATGAAAGCCTTCGACAATACATTATACTTGTTTTCATTAATCATAAGACAAATGTGGTGTTATTAATTACTTAAATGTTGTATTTAATCATTCTGCTTTCACTTAACTTAGCTGATGGTTGACCAAAATAAAGGCTACTGACTGACTGACTACAAATAAGATATGATATAATACAAATGGGTTCCTGAATAAGTACATACAACAAAAATACCACTTATATATAGAGTAAACAATAATAGAATTCAACAAACAGTTATATAGACATGTTGTACTGTTCAATTTCACAGTGATGTCAAACAATATTGTGTAAATTTTGGTACAGTCTCTTTAAAATAATATCAATGTCGTATCTTCTTATGTTGAGTAGCTTATAGATCAGCCATCCACAACCGGTTTCAGCCTACTTCAGGCCTTCTTCTGGTGGACTGAAATTAATGTATAAATCAATATTTTGCTCCAGTTGCATACATATAGAACATCTTATACTAAAATGCACTCAAAGAAATTTGTTAAGTCTTCACACTTGTTATTACAACAATATTTCTTGAACATGTCCATTAAACACTATACATTACAACACATTTAAGTACTTACAAAGTTATACACTTGAGAATTTGTTCTCCTCAGGAGATACAGATTTTTGGCTCAGTCATATCTACAGCAAAGGAACGAAATGTGGCGATGAGTGTTTGAAAATTACAATGTTAAAAATGATTATCTCAAGTGTATAACTTTGTAAGTACACTCAGTTCTTGTGGGTTTTTTCGGGCTATATGGCCATGTTCTAGAGGCATTTCTCCTGACGTTTCGCCTGCATCTATGGCAAGCTTTCTCAGAGGTCTGCTGGAGCTGGGAAAAAGGGGTTTATATATCTGTGGAATGACCAGGGTGAGACAAAAGGCTTTTGTAAGTTGGGCTACTTTGTAAGTGTGGACGGCTAATCTATAAGCTACTCAACATAAGAAGATACGACATTGATATTATTTTAAAGAGACTGTACCAAAAATTACACAATATTGTTTGACATCACTGTGAAATTGAACAGTACAACACGTCTATATAACTGTTTGTTGAATTCTATTATTGTTTACTCTATATATAAGTGGTATTTTTTTGCTGTATGTACAAATAAGATATGTTCAGTGTGCATAGGAATTCATTCATGTTTTTTTTCAAATTAAATCCGGCCCTCCAACAGTTTGAGGGACTGTAATCTGGCCCTCTGTTTAAAAAGTTTGAAGACCCCTGGTTTAAAGCAATGATTCCCAAAATCAGGGGGATTTGGACTTCAACTCCCAGAAGCCTCAGCAGCTTTGACCAATGATGAGAGATTCTGGGAATTGAAGTCCAATGATCTCAACGCCGTCATATTTTTCTCTTCTCAATTTAGGTGTTCCTGTGGCAGCATATGACGTCACTGACAGGCCTCAGTAACCTCTTCGAAGGCTGACAGAAGGAGGTCTTAAAGGAAGGGGCGGAGCCAAGTTTGCCCCCGCCCCTGACGCTCTGCGTGCCTCTCCGTCCGCTTTCGTGCTGTGTTTTCTGTCAGTCCCTGGCTGGGAACCGGCGGAACAAGATGGCGTCCCGGGTGAGTGAATGGATGAATGGCTGGCTGAGGGAGGGAAAGGCTGGGGAGTGACGTGTCCGCCGGGTGAACCTGCCGTTCTTGAAGGACTCATTGCGTTGCTGTTATTATAGCCTTGCTAATGCAATACTCTCCTCAGGGAGAGGACATCTCTTGTCAGTCTCCCTCTGTGAGGAGAGGAATACACTGGGATGGAGGGGACCTGAGTTCGAATCCTGGCTTGCTTTCCCTCAGGCGCCAGTGAAGAGATTCCTCATAGAATCATAGAATCAAAGAGTTGGAAGAGACCTCATGGGCCATCCAGTCCAACCCCTTGCCAAGAAGCAGGAGTATTGCATTCAAATCACCCCTGACAGATGGCCATCCAGCCTCTGTTTAAAAGCTTCCAAAGAAGGAGCCTCCACCATACTCCAGGGCAGAGAGTTCCACTGCTGAACGGCTCTCACAGTCAGGAAGTTCTTCCTCATGTTCTTCCTCCCACAAATAAACCCCCTCACAAGGTTGTTATGAAAGGGATTTGGCTGATAAACCGCATCAAATATCTTTAAACTTTTTTTACTTTTTGAACTTGTTTACTGTCTGATTTAGAAGAATAGGTGGCACTTAAAGAGGTGGATTTACCTGTTACAGAATGGGCTCATCTGCACTGGCAATTTAACAGCCTTGGAATCCCGGGACTTGTAGTTTTGCAAGGTCATTAGCCTTCTCTGCCAAATGAATGCTGATGCCTCACCAAACTACAGATCCCAGGATACCATAACATTGAGCCTTAGCAATGGAAGTGGGCTTGATCTGCGTTAATTCAATGGTGTAGATCAGTGTTTCTCAAGCTTCCCAATACCGTGACCCCTTAATACAGTTCCTCATTTTGTGGTGACCCTCAACCATAACATTTTCATTGCTACTTCATATCTGTAATTTTGCTATGGTTATGAATTGTAAATACTCGATATGCAGGATGTCTTTTCATTCACTGGTCCAAATTTGGCACAAATATTCGATATACCCACATTTGAATACTGGTGGGGTTGTGGAGGATTTTTTTTTTTTTTGGTCGTGTCAGGAGTGATTGCAAGTCGCTCCTAGTATGAGAGAATTGGCCGTCTGCAAGGATGTTGCCCAGGGGACGCCTGGATGATTTGATGTTTTTATCATCCTTGTGGGAGGCTTCTCTCATGTCCCCGCATGAGGAGCTGGAGCTGATAGAGGGAGCTCATCCGCCTCTCCCCGGATTCGAACCTGTGACCTGTTGGTCTTCAGTCCTGCCAGCACAGGGGTTTAACCCACTGCACCACTGGAGGCTCCTCGGTGGAGTATTGATTTTGTCATTTGGGAGTTGTAGTTGCTGGGATTTATAGTTCACCTACAATCAATGAGCTTTTTTTTTTGTCGTGTCAGGAGCGACTTGAGAAACTGCAAGTCGCTTCTGGTGTGAGAGAATTGGCCGTCTGCAAGGACGTTGCCCAGGGGACGCCCGGATGATTTGATGTTTTTATCATCCTTGTGGGAGGCTTCTCTCATGTCCCCGTATGAGGAGCTGGAGCTGATAGAAGGAGCTCATCCGCCTCTCCCCGGATTCGAACCTGCAACCTGTCGGTCTTCAGTCCTGCCGGCACAGGGGTTTAACCCACTGCACCACTGGGGGCTCTTAAAGAGCATTCTGAACTCCACTAACGATAGAATTGGACCAAATTTGGCACACAGAACTCCCATGACCGACATAAATTATTGGAAGGATTAGGTGGGCATTGACTTTGAGTTTTGGAGTTGTAGTTCACCTACATCCAGAGAGCAGTGTGGACTCAAACAAAGATGGATTCGGATCAAACTTGACACAAATACTCAATATGCCAAAATATGGACACTGGTGGAGTTTGGGGAAATAGATCTTGACATTGAGAGTTGTAGTCACTGGGATGTATAGTCCTCCTACAATTAAAGAGCATTCTGAACCCCACCCATGATAGAATTGGGCCAAACTTCCCACACAGAACCCCCATGACCAACAGAAAATACTGTGTTTTCTGATCGTCTTTGGCGACCCCTCTGACAACCCCCTCGCGACCCCCAGGTTGAGAAACACTGGTGTAGATGAACCCAAGGTTAGGCTCTCTCCCCACTTTGACACAACTCCTCTCCAAGCAGTAACAATCCCTCAATGGATATTTATTTATGGCTTGGTCAGTGACTACATAAGAGCCTCTGGTGGCACGATGGATTAAACCCTTGTGCCGGCAGGACTCAAGACCAACAGGTAGAAGGTTCGAATCCAGGGAGAGTATGGGTGAGCTCCCTCTTTCAGCTCCAGCTCCCCATGCGGGGACATGAGAAAAGCCTCCCACAAGGATGATAAAACATCAAAACATCTGGGCGTCCCCTGGGCAACATCCTTGCAGACAGCCAATTCTCTCACACCAGAAGTGACTTGCAGTTTCTCAAGTCTCTCCTGACATGGAAAAAAAAGTGCTACATTTTACGCTGTCCAAAAGCTGGTGCTGCCTGTGCATTTCTCAAAACAGAGTATCTTGCCCAGTCTGTCTTGTGAGTGGCTCTTCCGTTCAGCCTTCAGATTACTGCAGTAAATAACAAGGATGGTGGATGTAAGGGATAACTGCTAATTCCCGTTTTCTTGAAATAGATGGCTTTCCTCGAAGACGGCAAGGGAAAAGTTGCCATTCTTAGCCATCTGTTACTCCTCAAATACAGCATTGCAGGACGGATAGCCTGACCCACAAATGCTGCAGTGTTTTTCCTCTCTGTATGAAAAATACTGGTTGGTAACCTGTGGCTAATAAGCTTTTGCTGCTGTGTCACTTCCTCCATTTCAAGGAGCATCTGCTGGGTGAATAAATAGCTCAAGGTGTTTATGCAGTGATCGCCTTTACTGCATTGTCTTCTTGGCTTGGCAAGCAGAGGACTGCCTGCAACCTGGCTTATAGATTGCGCCTGCAGTGATGCTACTGGATACTATGATGCACTGTTTTATTTTCCCAGGGGCCCAACATGTTATGGCCATTTGGTGGCGTATAGAATAAATGGAGCAATATTGGGAGATTAATGGTGGGAAAATATTAATGAAGCTTCCTGTTTAAGGATTGGTACCCCTTCCCCACACAAAATCATAGAAGATTGTAAGCTTTTGCCACCAAGAGTATCCGTTTGATAAAGGTTCCTTCCACACAGTTATATAAAATCCACATTGAACTGGATTATATGGCAGTGTGGACTCAGATATTGTGGATTACTTGCCTTGATATTCTGGGTTATATGGCTGTGTGGAAGGGTTGGTCTCATAGGTTTCTAGCAGGGTGATCTCAGCTCCTGCAATCTGTAACGGATTAGGGAATTTTTTTCAGAAGGGTGATGGGAATTAAATCTTTATGGAACAAAGTTGTATACTTAATAGTTAAAGGTAGTAGACTGATATGAAAGGAAACCAAAGTGTTTTATAGTGAGGAAAGTGGCTTGATGTTTTTTGAAGCTTAATAGGGAGAAGGTGTCAAAGAAAATATACCAGTGGAGAAGTAATCTTTCCACTGTATTGTGTTATAAAATGAAAATCCTGTTTCTCAACTATATTTTAGGGAGGATAGGAGAATATATTGTTAATTTCTATTCCTTGAACAGAATTTTAACCTTCAAGCAAACAATACTGATTTCACCTGCTGATCTCCACCAATAGGTCTCTCCTATTAGAGGAATAATGAAGAATTACAGACAAAATGTTGGTGATAATTCTGATAATATATGTACTTGAAATGCCAGGGGCAGCTTGAAGTTGTACCTAATTGTCAACACTGTGCTTATTTCTTGTCCCCAAAAAGGAGAATGGTGTGTTGAAAGATTGACTTGCTCAACTCAATCCTATAAATGATTATGTAATCATGACGGAAATGGATGTGAAAGACACGCAGCCCTGTGTGTACATAAGCTGCCTGGTTATGGCTGACCTTCTACTCCATTTATGCAGACTGAATCCTCACATTGTCACAGTGCTGTTGCTGTAAGCTAAACTTCTCACAAACCTCATTGTTGCCTCAAGAACAAAAATGGATTGCAGTGCTGTACAAGGTTATCTTCAAATTGGCAAAATGTCTGTAAAAATAGCACATGCAATTTGATGTAAGCAAGTGCAATTGGGGCAAAAAAAAAATTCCAACTTCATATACACACTGATGGAATCTGAGCTGGTAGCTGTGACTGTCCTAGAATAGAAGAGATTTTGAAGTTGTAGTTGATAAGTGGATTAATCCTTTGACTCAGAAGCTAACTGCTGGAAAAGGAAAGTACAAAGGAACTGAAAATCACACTTCCCTCATACGGATTTGTGGTGTGATTCCACTTGCAATACTATGAATGGTCTTGTCACAGTATTTTAGAAAGGTTATTGTGGAATTTGCAATAGTGCAGAGAGGGGCAACCAAAATTCAATAGTGCAGAGAGGGGCAACCAAAATAGTGGAAACAAAGTCATGGTGTTTAGAACTTCTTAACATAGATTTAAGACTGGGAAGGATGGACATGACAGCAGGGTATAAATGTGGAGAAAGGGTCTATTGAGAAGCTTTCTTATTTTCTCCAATTGCTAGAACTCAGATCATCTACCAAACTGAATGGTGAAAGATTCAGGTTGAATGAAAAGAAGTATTTAGATATGTCAAATACTAGAATTTACTACTGAGATTGTAGCAATGGCCACCAATTTGTATAAAAGTAGATTCATGGAGGATACACTTGTCAGTGATAACCAGTCATGATGACTACATGTTACCTTAAATATGGGAGCTCTTGTGCCTGTAAAGGCCAGTTGTTGAGAAACAGGAGCATGGGGATGCATTTGTGTTCTCTTTCTAGACTTTCTGTAGGTATTTGATTGGCCACTGCCAGGTAAACCTTTTGATAAACCTTTGGTGTGATTCAACATGGCTATTATATTCTTATGCCTAAGTCTTACTATGGAGTGGAGCTACATCTGCAGTTTCCTTAGCTCAGTCTTTTATAAAA